GCATTACAGTGTAATTTACAGGTACTATATTTGCCAAATAAACTATGCACAAGACAAAGATGCAATACAGTTGCAGTAGTGAATTACCTTTTATTTTACAAGAAATAGCTGCCTTGAAGAAAAATCAAATTAACATTCCCTGCTCTTTAATCCTTTTTTTTTTAAAAAAAAAAAACCCTTTTATTTTGGGAATGAAAAAATCCTTAACAATAAAGATACATTGTATTTCTTCATGATCACTCAGCACAAGCTACAGCAAATGTACCCACAAATATTGACGCCAATCACAGGCAATAAATTTAATCTATTTTACATATTGCTATGAAAAGTTGTGAGTTGTTGTTCAGCTTTCAGGGGCCTAGATGGCAGTGTAGTTCTTAGTGTAATTAGTCAGTTTGATCTTCTCTGGGAAGATAATATTAACTGAGAGGTTTTCCCCATCGTTAGATTTCTGAAAGAAGTTCTTTTTCTTGCGCAGGAGATGACTATATTTGGCATTGGCCAGCCACGTTTCACATTTCGAAAAAAATACAATCCCAGTTGTACCCAAGACAACAAGACATGTAAGCAAGCCCAGTACAACAAAACATATCACCTGGCTTCTACTGAGCAAGGGTTCTGCATTTTGGATTGTTTCTTTCATTGTTATTTTCAGGATTTCTTGATGATGCATTGATCTGTGATGAGCTTTTGGGGGTGGCTTGTAATTCTGCATATGCTTAGTCTCCATAGTCACTCTAGAGAGGCTTGTGTTTTTACTGGGATGTTTGCACGTCGCACCAACAAATTCTGGTTTACAGATGCATTCGAATCCTCCTTGGGGATGTTCATTGCATGTCCCTCCATTCTCACACGGGCCACTTGCACAGAATATGACACGGCTGCTGCAGAGCTTTCCGGTATAGCCATGGGGACAAAAACAGCTGAAATCCACACCAATATCGGTACATGTTCCTCCATTTTCACAGGGGGTGGATTCACAGTCATCTCTATCTATTTCACAGAAGTTGCCAGCAAAACCAGAAGGGCACAGACAGGAAGCATGTGGTGCAAAACCATTGTCATCAACGCATGTTCCTCCATTCTGGCAGGGAGAGCTAGAGCAGATAACAAACACATAGACAGAACTGAATTAAAGTCAAATGAAAGAAGCTATTAGGAAACACTTTATATAATAAAAAGAGCTAGGTTTCTTTAGAAGAGACAATTCCAAATGCAAATCCACTGAAGTCGATGAGGTTGAATCAAGAATGAGTTTGTTCAATAGCTTTGTCAATACAGATTATAATATCTTCTGCTGATCCTTTGGGCAGGATTAGTACACCAGTATATAAATTCAATTTGAAGAGCTGTGAAGGGTTTTTATTTTTTTTCAAACATTTATTCAAATTAAGCTTCTCAGTGTTTCCACATGCTTAGAGCTATTTAGCTGAGCAACTATTCAGACAAGACTGAACAAAGACACTAGCAGCATGGCTTTCTTTTCCACCTGATTATTCATAAGATAATCTATATTCATAAGATAATCTATGTATTCTACTGGCAAAGCAAAACACTCTGCCATAGCAGCTAGATGTAAAATTGATTGGCTTTATTCTGCCTCTCCAGTGCTCCATGACACAGAAAAAATTTAGAGGCAAACAGATATTTTTCTGCAAATTGCTCTTCAACAAAAAAATTTGATAAATATAACTATAATAAAAAATATCAATGGGATCGTTTCAGCCTTGCAAAGGTAGCTGTAATGTGAGGACGGCTCAACAGGAAACCAAGTATTTCTCCAAACCCTTTAAGGACTTATTAATAGCCTGGTTTTAAGTGATGTAAATTCACTGAGATACCTTTTTTTACCTTTGCAATGTAACTGTGCCTTACTGAGTGTAAGGCCAAAAGACAGAGCCACCCACTGACAGAAAGGCACAAACACATCAATTCAGTGGAGCTACGCAATGAGGACTTGGTCCTTCAACTGTCTGTGTTGGCAGGAATGAGGCCCTCTGTCACAGGTCTACAAATAATCTCAAAACCCACTTCCATGGCACTTCACCATACATGAACAAAGTTTTTAAAACCTACCTTCCAAAAATGAATAAAACTAGGTAAATCTCACAAGCCTCTCTGACAATTCCTAATACTTGTAAATCTCTGAAGACATACAGCAGGGTACCAGGACATAGTTGAAAAGCTCAAGCTGTTATTTAAGTGTTACGTTTCCAGGGGAAAAGTCTCAGAGGTAATGAACATCACAGCTTCATGAATGCTGACATTTCACATATGCAGTGGTCAGTAGCAATTAGTTGTTCTCAATTTCCATGGTGGGACACAAAGATTTAAGAGATCTGTTGATGTCCAAGCGAAATGACTGTGAAAGAGATACTATTTCCCTAGGGAAATAGGAAGAAATTGCTAGAGAATGTAAGTGTAAATTTTTTTCTGAACCTTTCAGAAATGTAAAAAATGTAAATAAAAAACAGTTAAGGGAAAATATGCAGAATTTTGAAAATTTATTCTTTATTTATTACTGAGTTGCATTTGCCTAATTTTAATATGTTTAAATAAATAAGGTATTAATACTAATCTCCTTGAATAGATTCACTTACTTTGCATTTTTGGCATTTAATGAATGTTCAGCAAGGTGTGGTACATGAAGGACTAGTAGAAACATAGAGGTACCTCTTTGCTTTCCAAATACTCTGCTTTTATTTTAGAATGTACCACTCGCTACTCTGCTTCAGAACAAATCTTCAAAACATCATACAAATGTCGCTAATGAAGATACATCAGCCTGATCTTGTAAACAGTAGAACAATCACTTTGATTTGTGAATTGTCTTGTTTCCATCTGTGAATATTAACTAAGGAGCCAGCGGCAATGCTTAGTAATATCAACATTGTTAACATTACCACTAAGGCAGAGAGGAACTGAGAGGAAGTGAGATGAGAATGAGATGACATCATATGATGATGGCTACAAGCTGTTCAGAGGGACAGGAGAAGAAGGAGGGGTGGAGGTGTTGCCCTCTATGTTAAGAAGTGGATAGAGTGTGAAGAGTTGTCCCTAAAGAATATCCATGAGCAGGTTAAAAGCTTATGGGTAGGAATTAGGGATCGAGACAAGAGGAACCTTCTGGCTGGTGTCTACCACAGGTTGCCCGATCAAGGGAAGCCTATCGATGAAGCCTTTTTACTCCAGCTCCAGGAGGGATAGAGCTCACAGGCTCTCATCCTGCTGGGGGATTTCAACCACTCTGACATTCATTGGAAAAGGAGCACGGCAAGCTGTAGGCAATCCAAAAGACTCCTGGAGTGCCTTGATGACAACTTTCTAACACAAGAAATAGACAGCCCTACTCGAGGGGAAGCAATATTGGACTTAATGGTCACCAGTGCAAGTGAGCTCATCAGGGATGACGAGACTGGAGGCAGTCTGGGCTGTAGTGATCATGCACTGGTGCAGTTCACTGTTCTAAGGCATATGAGTCATATGAGAAGCATTGTCAGGACCCTAAATTTCAAGAAAGCCAACTTACAGCTCTTAAGGGATCTAGCCAATAGGACTCCCTGGGAAACGGCCCTCAAGTACAATGGAGCAGAACAGCACTGGCAGATCTTTAAGGATGTTTTCCACAGAGCACAAGAGCTCCTGATCTCAGGTGTAAGAAATTGGGCAAGGAAGGCAAGAGACCAGCATGGCCAAGTTGAGACCTGCTGGTCAAACTAAAAGGCAAGATGGAACAACAAAGGAAGTGGAAGCAGGGACCAGTATCCTGGAAAGAGTACAGGGACGTTGCCCAGTTGTGTAGGGATGAGGTCAGGAAGGACCTCAGGTGCAGCTGGAGCTGAACTTGGCAACGGATGCCAAGAAAAACATGAAGGCCTTCTACAGGTATGTAAACTGGAAAAGGAAGGTTAAAGAAAGCATACCCCGCCTTGATGAGCAACAATAGTGATCTAGTAAAAACAGACAAAGAGAAGGCTGAGGTTCTCAACAACTATTTTTACCTCAGTCTTCACTGGCAACCTGTCTCCTCA